TCTTCTTCGAGTTTAAGGCAAATCTCCTCGGGGGTGATGTATCGTCCCCCTTCGGTGTAGTAGATGTCATTGCGGCGGAGGTTCTGTGCATTGAAAACCATGCCGCTTACGGGTTTGATCTCTTTGTGGCTCAGGTCCACTCCCTTTTTCTCCATGTCCAACTTAGGATCATCCCGTAAGGTAGACTAAGCCGGTTGCTAGTCTTGCAAAACTCCTTGTGTTTCAACATAAGTGCCGGTAGATTAAACTTGATTTTGTGCTTTAGGAAGTAGGCAAAGGTACACTCCAAGCTTCCCACATCCTTGCTTTTGTTGTTCGTAGGCAACAAGCTGTCAGTTACAATCATGACTAGTATCTTCTGTTCAGCGGTTAGCCATTTCCTGTTAGGCCGGGTGGCCGAGGTGAAGCCTTCCTCCTTTCCTAGTAGGTACCCGAAGTAGTCCATATACCCCGTGCCTTTGGGTGGCCGGATTGCTTGGCCTGGTGTTAACGTCGTTCCGTAGTCTTTTCATAGGAGGTGCCCCACCTCCCGTGTTCCTTTTTCGTATCTGCTCCTGAACCCCTCGTTGTAGTAGTTGGATTCGGTAGAGGTTGGCGGCACTGGAGTAAGCCTCGTTGAGGGACCGGGGTCCGCTTATCACTAGTGCTTTTCGGGCTTCGAAGTTGAGGCCTGATACAAATCGTTCTATCTTGGTTGCCTCTGTGGGGACCAACTCTGGTGCGAAGCGTGCTAGTTCGAGGAATCGTTTATGGTATTCCATGACGGTAGTTGTTCCTTTCTTTAGGTGGAGGAATTATTCGTGCATGGATGCCCTTATGTGTGCTAGGTAGAATCTTTCTCGTAGTCGTGTTTTTAGGCTTTCCCAGTTGAATCCTGGTTCCTGTCTTTAAGTGAGTCCCTCGTGAATCCACCAGAGGTCCGCCTCGTGTCCGAAGTAGAACGAGGCTATCTCTATACGACGCTCTTCTGGGTATTCTACCAGCCCCAGAATTTTGTCAAAGGTTCGAATCCATTCCTCCAGGATGGTGGGATCTTCTTCTCCCGAGAAGGTGGGTGGTCGATGATTCAAAACTTGTCGGACGACCTCTGAGTTTGCGTTTGGTGGAGGTGGTTGTGTCCTGTTGTTGCGGAGAGCTATGTCGCTAAGTGTATGGGCGACTTGGCTTAGCTGTTGCAGGGTTTGAGCCAGGGGGTCGTGTGTGGCGGGTTCCAGAGTCCTTGATTGTCTTCTGTTTGGTGCCATGATGCAGATCTATAGAGCCAAATGTTCATAGTAAACGTCAAGTCAGAGTGTTGTACCCTTACCTTGATGCGATAAGTGAAGGGGGAGTTCTTTTAAATTATGTGTGGATTAGTGTGAGAGGGAATGTTTAGGTGTTTCACATTCTCACCGCACGTCCTACGATTCCTACGTCCTATCTTACTGAACTCCTAGAGTTTAAGACTAATGTCCTAAAATCTGGTATTAAGAGTCTTATCCTATGGTCAAACTTAGGCTCTGATACCAACTGTAACACCCCGAAATTTTGAAACTTTTAAAACTTATATAATAAAGGTGAATTCTCATTAAATCCCAAAATCAACATAAAAGTGCGGGGTGTTATGCCACATCTGAGCTGGAAAACTCAGATGCACAGGCTAGACTAACTAAAAAACCTCGAAGTAATGTCGATACATAATCATGGCACGCAGGCCGAAAGAGAAACTAACTAATCTACGCTCCGGATCTCTAGCGCGCTCCGGTGCCTACTCATCTGTGCATGAAAGCCAAATATATCTGTTCAGCGAATTATGCTGATAACCCACTCCAACGCGTTGAAATACAATATAAGTAGATATATATATAGAACCATTTTGAAGCAGGAAGAGATATACTTAGGGGACTCTAGCTTTAAAATCAGGGAAAGACTCAACAAGTAGGGGTAAGCACATTCAATCATGATAAACAGTTATATAGAGACAACATCATAATGAACATATATTTAAGGTCACAGTTTACTTTCAAATCATCCACATCATTATTCAATCGTCATTCATTCGTCATTCAAGTCATCATTCAAATCATCATAAGCACACTTTGGTGGCGCCAAGGGACCAATCACATGCCCCGAACATGCGGGTTAGTGCGTATAGCAGTAACATGGCCCCGCAGCACCCTACCTCATACCACAGCATGAGGTGGTTGATCGCAACCAACCGTACAGACCGTCGAAAGCTCGACGGCGGATCGCAGCCCTACACACCGCTGACGCGCTCAGTCGGTGGACTGCGATCCTCTTATGGGGACTATGATCCTACACACCGTTGATGAGCGCAGTCGGTGGATTGTAGCGAATCAAGCCCTACACACCGCTGAGGGACTCAGTCGGTGGGCGAAGATCCATGGAGACTACGACCTTACACACCGCTGGACCTTCACTCGGTGGATCGTAGCCAACCATAGTCCTACACACCGCCTGATCACTCATTCGGTGATGTAACACCCCCTAAAAATATGCTATACAAAGCCTTAAAACATGCAGATAACGGAACTAAACATTCAATACAGCGGAAGTCTGAACGATAGATAGATAGGTAAAGTCTGAAACACAGGGTGTTATGCCACGTTCACCATAAGGATGAACGCACAGGCAATATCTGCAATGTTCACAACTAATCCCATAAGTTCAAAGTTCTACATCTACACTGGCTCACAGGCCACAAAACGAGAGGGGAAAACTATTCTAGCAAGTACTAGACCGCGCGCTCGCCTAGACATCACCTGAAAGAACACAATAAAACATGGGACGACGCCCAGTCAGCGAATAATGCTGGTAACCCACCAATACATGTGAAATATCATTCACATATAAGATATAGGTTTGTAAAGCCATTTTCGAAACGGAATACATATATATAAGTGCAAAAACCACGAGTAATAGTCAACACAAGACTCAACACTCTCAACAATAACACGGGAACACATCCCAAGACCACAAGGAACAACATGACTCACAAGAAGAGTCAAGGCATGATCTATCATCACTCAATAGATCAAAACCCGACAAGCACAACGCAAAGGAATAAGACTTACCCAACGGCAACACATGCCTTTGTGACTACACACGTCACAAGAGAAGAACTCCCCACAATGGCTACACAAGCCCTCGTGACATCACCCATCACGAGTTGATATGCCTTCCTTATGCCCGGTTCCAACCTTATGGCTACCCCCAACCTTATTTATTCTTCCAACCATTACCTCCAGGACCCCTGTAGAACCAAGTCTAACATTTTCTTTCCGAGGACCGTCGTACCCATCCGCCGACAAACCGCCAACAAAACCGCCAATTTCATAGTACACGAGGGTACCGATCACACACATGGCAACACACTCCTTCCCAAGAAATACGTGAACACGACACACAGGTCAGAACTCCATAATCACGTCACGGCCATCACGAGGACCGCTGCAATACCTTGGTGACTAGTGTCCAATACCACTAATCGTGCAATCCAGGTAAAGCCACACACACATCATACCTCAACAGGAATCAATCAACAGATCACAACGAAGATATGAAACCATACTCAAATCAAGGAATGGGTCACAACCCAACAACAACAACGATGAATAACACAAGTTATCATCAACCAAAGGATGGTACAAACAACACACACGCTAGCATTTAAACACCGAACTAGCATGCTTATCCAACGGGTAAACCAAAGGTAGTTCCGAGGAATACACAAGACTCATCATGGTTCAACGAAACACAATGTTGAACACTTAGCACGATTCAGAATACCAAAGACCTACATGAATACCTACCACATAGTTCTAGACATACGAAACATCAAGAAGACACTCAAATAGTTCCACAAAAGAACATCGGGGAGTCAAAAGACCAAATACCGAATCAAAAGAATCACGGGGAACAAATCCCCGCCATCACCACAATACGTACCCGCGGGTAGGCCCACGGGTAGGCCTCTACCCGCGGTTCCGCCCGCGGGTACAGGCTACCAAACCAATGTACCCCGCGAGTGGGCGGCGGGTTGGATCCCTACCCGCCGTTCCGCCCGCGGGTACAACCCTGTACCTCAAAATATCCCATCGGGGATTTTTAACTCCAAGCTCAAATTCAGGTCCAAAACATGCCAAATCTCACCAAATACAACAAAATGACTTGAATCAAAGGAAATGCCAAGCAATGGCACAAAAGAACCCTAAACACAAGCTCTAGATATGCATTTTCACAAGATGATGCATCAACACTCACATTTCATAGCAAAACACATGTAGAATCTAAGAAATCACATATAGGTAAGCAAAATAGATTTTGTAGAGCATGGGTTACCTCTTGTAGACTAAAGACTTCACTTTACACCTTAATAAGCTCTTCTTAAGGCTCACCTTCCAAACCCACTTCAAGAACAAACCAAAAGATCATAAAGATCCTACCTTTAAGAAAAGACACCTAAGATGAAACCAAAAACACAAGATGAACTTAGATCTTACCCTCCTAGTAGGTTAGGTTACAATACTAACACCATGTGAAAGGTCAGGAATGCCCTTACTAACATTAGGAAGTGTAAGGAACAATGGAACTCTTTAGAAAGCTCAAGGTACAACTTTGACTTTGGGTTTGACTAGTCAATTATTAGTCCCCAAGTATTGAATTTTCAGGATTTTAGGAATTAATTCACTAATTGAAATAGGATTAATTACTCAATTAATCCGTTAATTGAATTTGGATTTTGGGGTGTCACATCCTCTCCCCCTTCAAAGAAGCTTCGCCCCCGAAGCTTGGGTACGACGAATTAAAAGCAAACGGTGATAGGAAACAACATTGTGACAAGAGGTTCAAGAACAAGCTCATTTGGTCAAAACTCAAAAGATTTCCCAAGAGTTTCAAAACATGAATGAAGGCATATCAAAATTCAAGGATTGGCAAGAGTTTAACAAATGAATGTTTTGGAGCATCACGAACTCTAATCTTAACACAAACACCAACTCCTAGCTAACCACTAAAGACAAAACAATCAACGCAAAACACCAACTACTAAGCTAACTAAACAACAAGGCAACCAGCAAAAACAAGCATGCAAGGCAAGCAACAAACAACGAAGACAAGGTACCTGCTAAGAACAACTTTGGATACTGCTCCCGCATGGTTGACTCCAGCTCACAAGTAGCTTCCTCAACCCCATGATGTGTCCACCAAACTTTCACCATCTTCACAGACTTCCTACGTGTGTCCCGAGTCTTGAAGTCTAGAATTCTCAGCGGCCTCTCCTCATAAGTCAAGTCCTCATCTAACGGTATTACTTCCGGTGGTAAACCATGAGCTGGGTCGTGAACATATCTCTTGAGCTGTGATACGTGGAACACGTTGTGCACTCTCTCCAATTCCATGGGCAACGCCAAACGGTTGGCTAAACTTCCAATCCTCTCAAGGATTTCATACGGACCAATAAACCTAGGGCTCAACTTCCCTTTTCTTCCAAACCGCATTACTCCCCGGGTGGGAGACACTTTCAACCAAACTTGCCCATCGGTGGCCGGGTGGAAAGCAGTACTGAGACTTAGGTTGGTTCCAAGAGCCGCTTGCAAGGATTTCCAGAATTGAGACAAGAACCTTGGAACTCCATGATACTTTACCACTTGATTAACATAAGCTTGAGCCAACTGTGTCATTGTCCAAGTCTCCTTCATTGCGATAAGGCGAGCAGTCTAAGTCAAATGATCAACTATCACCCAGATTTTGTCCTTACCCGAACGGGTTGTCGGCAGACCTCCCACAAAATCCATAGATATAGAGTCCCACTTTCCTTGTGGAACTTCCAATGGTTGTACCAACCCCTTGACTTTCCAACACTCCGCTTTAATCTTTTGGCCATTGAGGCACTTCCCAACAAATTCTGCAACTTCCTTCTTCATATTAGGCCACCAAAAGAGACTCTTTACATCCTTGTAAAGTTTGTCGCCTCCGGGATGGACCGAGTAGGGTGTGTTATGACCCTCTTCTAGAATCGGTCACTTCCACTGATCAAAAGACGCGGGTATGCACAAACGGCCCTTATACTTCAACACTCCATCCGTAGACAGCTCAAATGGTCCCCCTTTCCCTTTAGTTAGGTCATCCCTTGCTTTCATCAGGCATGCATCCTTTTGTTGCTCTTCCTTAATTTTTCCCAGAAATGTAGGTATAATCCTTAAGTTGTAAAAACGGACTTCTGTCTCGACATCACCCTGTTCAACCACTTTCAAGTTCATCCGTTGGAACTCTTTGCAAAGTTCATCAGCTACTACCCAAATGGAATTAGCGGTATGCTTCGATTTCCGGCTTAATCCGTCCGCCACTACATTAGCCTTTCCTTCGTGATACTGAATATCCAATTCGTAGTCCTTGATGAGTTCCAACCACCTTCTTTGTCGCATGTTGAGATCCTTTTGGGTGAAGATATATTTAAGACTCTTGTGATCCGTGAAGATCTTGCAACGCACCCCATACAGGTAATGTCTCCAAATCTTCAAAGCAAACACTACGGCGACCAATTCCAAATCGTGTGTTGGGTAATTCTCTTCGTGAACTTTAAGCGGGCGTGAGGCGTAAGCAATTAATCTCCCATTTTGCATCAACACACAACCTAGTCCCTTCTTGGACTCATCACTGTATACCTCAAACCCTTCCGTTCCTGATGGCAAGATTAAAACTGGTGCAGTCGTGAGCCTCTCTTTCAAATCTTGAAATGCTAACTCACAAGCTTGATCCCAAACGAAAGGCACTTCTTTCCTTAGTAACTTAGTCAATGGGTGAGCCACCTTGGCGAAATCCAAAACAAACCTTCGATAATAACCCGCTAAACCAAGAAAACTTCTTACTTCCGCCACCGATGTAGGTACAGTCCAATCTCTCACTGCCCGTATCTTGTCCGGATCCACGGAAATACCCCTACTATCAATCACGTGACCTAGAAACGCTACACTGTCCTTCCAAAACTGGCACTTTGAAAGCTTGGCATACAACTGCTTTTCCCTCAAGATCTGAAGTACCGTCCGAAGATGTCCAACATGCTCCTCCTTATCCTTTGGATACACCAAGATGTCGTCGATGAATACGATCACGAAATCGTCGAGGTGAGGTTTGAACACTCTATTCATCAAGTCCATAAATACTGCAGGGGCGTTAGTCAAACCGAACGGCATAACCGTAAACTCGTAGGGACCGTACCGAGTCCGAAACGCGGTTTTAGGAATATCCTCGTCTGCCACCTTTAACTGATGATACCCCGACCTCAATTCAATCTTGGAAAGCACTCCTGTACCATGGAGTTGGTCAAACAAATCATAGATTCGTGGAAGGGGTACTTGTTCTTGATGGTGACTTGGTTCAGCTCTCGGTAGTCGATGCACAATCTCATACTACCATCCTTCTTCTTCACAAACAACACTGGGGCTCCCCACAGCGACGTACTAGGTCGGATGTAACCTTTGTCCAAGAGCTCTTGTAGTTGAGTCTTCAACTCTTGCAATTCCTTCGGTGCTAGCCGGTATGGAGCCTTGGATATAGGTGCGGTGCCCGGTATAAGGTCCACCGAAAATTCCACTTCTCTTGAAAGGGGCATACCCGGAATTTCCTCGGGAAAAACGTCAAGGAACTCACAGACGACGGGTATGGCCTGAGCTACATCCCCTTTTGCCTTCAAGTTCTCAACCGAGCACAAGAACAACTCATTGCCTTTCTCCACGTACTTCTTCATCTTCATCATAGATACTAACTTGATCCCGGGTTCTTCCGTCGTTCCCCGATATGATACCCTCTTCCCACTGGGTCCTCGTAATACCAACTTCTGATCCTTGCACAGGATTTGAGCTCTAAACCGCCCCAACCAATCCATACCTAAGACCAGGTCTATCCCGTCCAAGTCGTACTAGATTAGATTGCTAGGAAACTCCTCCCCCTTGATGTTAATCTTGATACCCTCGAAGAGACGGTCACACATCCTAACTTCTCCCGATGCTACCTTAACATTAAGCTTTACTCCAGTGCCCCCAGATAAACCCAACTTCTTCACGAGTTCGGTTGATACGAACGAGTTAGATGCTCCCGAATCGAACAGAATCGTTGTCGGAACGGATTGCACGAGAAAGGTCCCAACTACTACATCACTGTCACTTGTTCGAACATCACTTAGGGTAAGCGTTTTCCCTTGAGGTGACCCTTCCGTCGGATGATGAACCTCTATTTTCCCATTCCTTCTTAAATCCCGAGATGCCGGCAAAGTAGCTGCACTAGGACTTACTCTTGTGGACGTGCCACTCCGGATCCACCGCTCAATCACCCCAGAAGCGTTACTACATTCGGCCAACCTAGATTTCTTAACCACTTCACCCACATCTTCAAACGTTGCGGTACGCTGACGGGGAGGCATCGCAAACTTCTACAACAACAACACGGTTACCAAAAGATAACAAACAAGCAAGAAACAGAAAGCAACACTCAGCTCACCGCTCAACCTAAAGTCCTAAGCCTATTTCTTAGATTTTTAAGGTCGCTTAAGGGTCTCAAACCACACTTAGCGACTTAGAAAGTCTAGACTTAACTCTTCCTAGGCTCAAACCTAGGCTCTGATACCAACTGTAACACCCCTAAAAACATGCTATACAAAGCGTTAAAACATGCAGATAACGGAACTAGACATTCAACACAGCGGAAGTCTGAACGATAGATAGATAGGTAAAGTCTGAAACACAGGGTGTTATGCCACGTTCAACATAAGGATGAACGCACAGGCAATATTTGCAATGTTCACAACTAATCCCATAAGTTCAAAGTTCTACATCTACACTGGCTCACAGGCCACAAAACGAGAGGGGAAATCTATTCTAGCAAGTACTAGACCGCGCGCTCGCCTAGACATCACCTGAAAGAACACAATAAAACATGGGACGACGCCCGGTCAGCGAATAGTGCTGGTAACCCACCAATACATGTGAAATATCATACACAGATAAGATATAGGTTTGTAAAGCCATTTTCGAAACGAAATACATATATATAAGTGCAAAAACCACGAGTAATAGTCAACACAAGACTCAACACTCTCAACAATAACACGGGAACACATCCCAAGACCACAAGGAACAACATGACTCACAAGAAGAGTCAAGGCATGATCTATCATCACTCAATAGATCAAAACCCGACAAGCACAACACAAAGGAATAAGACTTACCCAACGGCCACACATGCCTTTGTGACTACACACGTCACAAGAGAAGAACTCCCCACAATGGCTACACAAGCCCTCGTGACATCACCCATCACGAGTTGATATGCCTTCCTTATGCCCGGTTCCAACCTTATGGCTGCCCCCAACCTTATTTCTTCTTCCAACCATTACCTACAGGACCCCTGTACAACCAAGTCTAACCTTTTCCCTCCGAGGACCGTCGTACCCATCCGCCGACAAACCGCCAACAAAACCGCCAATTTCATAGTACACGAGGGTACCGATCACACACACGGCAACACATGCCTTCCCAAGAAATACGTGAACACGACACACAGGTCAGAACTCCATAATCACGTCACGGCCATCACGAGGACCGCTGCAATACCTTGGTGACTAGTGTCCAATACCACTAATCGTGCAATCCAGGTAAAGCCACACACACATCACACCTCAACAGGAATCAATCAACAGATCACAATGAAGATATGAAACCATACTCAATCAAGGAATGGGTCACAACCCAACAACAACAACGATGAATAACACAAGTTATCATCAACCAAAGGATGGTACAAACAACACACACGCTAGCATTTAAACACCGAACTAGCATGCTTATCCAATGGGTAAACCAAAGGTAGTTCCGAGGAACACACAAGACTCATCATGGTTCAACGAAACACAATGTTGAACACTTAGCACGATTCAGGACACCAAAGACCTACATGAATACCTACCACATAGTTCTAGACATACGAAACATCAAGAAGACACTCAAATAGTTCCACAAAAGAACATCGGGAAATCAAAAGACCAAATACCGAATCAAAAGAATCACGGGGAACAAATCCCCGCTATCACCACAATACGTACCCGCGGGTAAGCCCACGGGTAGGCCTATACCCACGGTTCCGCCCGCGGGTGTAGGCTAACCAACCAGTGTACCCTGTGGGTGGGCGGCGGGTTGGACCCCGCCCCCCCCCCCATTCCGCCCGCGGGTACAACCCTGTACCTCAAAATATCCCTTCGGGGATTTTCAACTCCAAGCTCAAATTCAAGTCCAAAACATCACAAATCTCACCAAATACAACAAAATGACTTGAATCAAAAGAAATGCCAAGCAATGGCACAAAAGAACCCTAAACACAAGCTCTAGATATGCATTATCACAAGATGATGCGTCAACACTCACATTTCATAGCAAAACACATGTAGAATCCAAGAAATCACATATAGGTAAGTAAAATAGATTTTGTAGAGCATGGGTTACCTCTTGTAGACTAAAGACTTCACTTTACACCTTAGTAGGTTAGGTTACAATACTAACACCATGTGAAAGGTCAAGAATGCCCTTACTAAGATTAGGAAGTGTAAGGAACAAGGGAACTCCTTACAAAGCTCAAGGTACAACTTTGTCTTTGGGGTTGACTAGTCAATTATTAGTCCCCAAGTATTGAATTTTTAGGATTTTAGGAATTAATTCACTAATTGAAATAGGATTAATTACTCAATTAATCCGTTAATTGAATTTGGATTTTGGGGTGTCACATGTGGGCTATGGTCTTCTTCAGGCTGGTGGCCCTACACACTACTGGCGCGTCCAATCGGTGGACCATCCGCACACGAGGCCCGTGGGCTGTAGCCCAAGAAGTGAATCACTGACCGCAGCTAGGAAAATGAACCGCAGCTCATGTGTAACCA